TTGCTGGTCAAGCCATAGCAGGAAAGTAATTAAGAGATAATTACTTTAAAGATGCTTTATCTCCAGTCTGGTTTCTAGATAACAACAAAGTTACTATTTTTTAGAACTAGACCAAGCTGTAGGAGAATGCCTTGCGATAATCAACATTTTCCTTGTTCTGCTGGACCTTTGAAATAGGTGACAGGATGGGCACAGTACCCAAATGTGAGGCAGCAGGTGTGGTTGTTACCACACACCGGGTATTGTCTCAAAGCCTGGCATTTGTAGTCTTAACATAATTTTCTCCCTTTCTTTTCAGATGACAGTGCCTGTGAATTAAGTATATTTGAGATTGACAGCACTCTGCAGTATGTTCAGATTCGCAGGGTCATGCCCAAGCCTTGCTTCGGGAAACGTGGCTGTGAAGATCAAAATGACAGTTGTGTTTTCTTCTTTTTCTTAGCATTTTTTTTCAAATCAGTGGAGCTGGAATTGCAGGGTCCTGGCTGCTGCTGCCTGTAGGATTTTTAGAATGGCCCAGAGAGCATTCAGATCTCGTAGCAGAAATAACGAGTCTTCCTGAATATCAGTGTTGCTGAAGCCTAGGGACAAAGTAATAAACTTTTATAAAAAAAAATAAAAAATTCAAAGATTAGGAGAACATAACGAGCTATTAAGACTGTATATTTATACAAATGCTATCATTTTAAAGAATTTTGATAAAATTACACGGTTTCCAGTTTTCAGGTTTGTGGAGCAGACACTGTTTCTGGCATAACCTCATAAGTACTACTTAGCCAAAGTGTGAGCTGAGCAGTGTTCATCTGGGACTTGTTATTTTTAGGAGCTAACAGGAGTTGCTTTTGGTCATCTGAATGAATTTTTGTTTGTTGCAAACTCTACTGAAGGTTCAAATTCACTTCTTTGTATGAGTTCACATTAAAAGTACGGCTCAAGGCTGATGAAGCTCTTTGTTAGGATACCTGGAAGCTTTTCATGGTCCCTGGATGATGGGAATCAGGGTATTAGATCTTTACACTGTAGATGTTTTCAATAGCAAAATGTATCTTAATTTTGTTCTAAAATAAGGATCTCATGGCAGAATGTGAGGTGCCTCGATGACATTTGTAATATTTAAAGAAAGACTTCTACAAAGCTCACTTGCAGTTACCATATCTTTTCATGTTACCTCACCTTTCTAATTGTCTCTGTTCATTAGGCAGTAAGTCTAATTAGAAGGATGATGCAGGTTTTCCAGGCAAATTCACCCTATTTTTCTATGTCTGTTTTAATGTAGCTGTGCTCTCCTACCTAATGTAGCATGAGGGTAGCTGCTGGCTGCTAACTCTGTGGATTCTCAGCTTTGGCACATCTGGAAGCTGAGCTCGTTGTTTACCCAATTCAAGGAGTAACTATTACTTACTATATATGTACCTTCCTCTGGAAACTACAGTTCTTAAAGAAAAGGTACCTAAATTTGCATGGTGTTTGTTGCAGCAAGTACTGATTTCACCTTTGCCTAAATAAAAAAAAAATTAAATGAAGAAAAGGCTGTACCCTTTGAATTGAAGAATGGCAAGAAGCTCTGTAAACTTCCAAACTCTTCCTCCTATGAATCCCAGTCTCCTGAAACTGGTTCTATTCGTTTTCACTAGTTTGATGTGAAATACATCCACAATGACAATGGTGATGAATGCAGATACCTGAAGACTCTGTCCTGTTTGTATTTTAAAACCTTATATACTAACAGAGATTTCAGGCACCTACAGATTTTTGTACCTGATAGAAAATTACCATCGAAGTTTATTACTACAGTAAAAGTAAATCTTGGGGATTTGCTGGAGCCTCCTGGAGTTTAAGCCATGAAGAATTATAATAAAATAGCTATGTTTCTTACAACCTGTAAGAAAAATAATTGACAAAATAAGACCTACAGTCTGAGACAATTTCTTTGCTAAGTTTTGCTTTCGCTTGTCTTATCTAACCTTTTCTTTCAAAGGAGAATCTGCTCTCCTTAAGTGGAATGTGCAGGATGTACTTCAGTTAATTCTCTTCTTTAATTTTGTCTCGCATTGAGGAGCTATTTCCCTTCCCCACAAGGTGCTGTCTTACATCTCTACCTTCAGTCAGGAAAATCTGCTTAGGGCTCCCCACTTGTGAGGATGGTACTTCTTTCTGTATTGGCCAGAGGGCTGAAGGCCAGAGTGGCATTCCCTCCATCCCAGGATGGTGATGCATTCCCAGCAACACTCACTGAGCAGACAAGCGTGAAGCCATGTTTTATAATCGAGCAGTGCAGCAGTGCAGGCTCTTTTTCAGGCAGTGGCCTGGCCTTTTCTTTGTCACCCAAGGAGTACGTGCCAGAAGGGACAGAGTGCTGTTGTGCTGTATAATAATGTGAGGTTCAAAGGCTGCAGCTTTGCACGTTTAGAGATTGAGGATAATATGACTCGAAATATAACAACGGGGCATTCTCAGTATTTAAAGTGCTGTGTAATAAAGAACATGCAAGGAGAGATTAATATTGTTAAGGGACTACGAATTACAGGCTCTTTGATGATTTTATTCTCATTGCTGAAGGCTACATTAGGTCAGGAGGAGCAGATGGAAACTTTTTGCTGGGACACAGTTACTTGACAGCTTCCTTCTGCATCATGTGAAGGCTCCATTGGCAGATTTTCTAATTTGCCAGGGAGCTGTAGCTCTCTCTTCTGCCTTCTGCCTGCTTTTCCTACACTGTCTTATGGTGGCAGTGTTATGAATGTAATCTTTTTCCAGTTTCTGCATCTTCAAGTGGTGTTTCCCAGCTATCTTTCACAGTTTATAAGAAGCCTATTACTTTTAGCTGAGATGTGAAAGGAGACATTTACCAGGAGGAGTTCAGTCTTCTAACTGCTCTACTCAGATGACTCCCCGCCTCCCATTCTTTCTCTTTGGTCCCTGGCAGCTCAGGCACTCTTGGTGGAGATCTGCAGGTCTTCCATTAATTTTTCCTTGTTGATTCTATGTGCTGGATTGCAAACAATTAACTCGACTGCTCTTAACTGCACCAGGTACATGGGGGCTCTTAATCAAAGTGGCACTCGAGTGAAACTGAGGAAATGGTTTTCCTCTGGCTGCTCCTCTGAACTGCAGGGCTCATGGTGCAGGGGGATGGATTTTATCAAGGGACAGGATCATGGCCATGCAGATACACGGATGCCCCACCCAGGTCTAAGTTTGCCTCTGGTGTTCCCAGGCTTTAGGCAAGTTGTATCAGGATTCTGATACATCCAGCTAGAAGTACCAGAAGTAGCAATTATACATTTAAAGAAACCAATTTAAATGACGCAGATTGCTGTCTGTGGGTAATTATTCAGTCTAAAACAAATAACCTAGAGGTTGCAAATAATAATTTTGCAGAAAAAATAATAGCATGCATTATTTAATGTCTACATTTTTGTATGATGATAAAGTAAGAAATGGTCTAAATTATTTTTGTTCTGTTGTAGTTCTTCCCATCAGAGTGAGTTTCAGATCTCTTCCCTGGGAAGACTGGGGATTTATATGCTGAATGTTGACCTGGACATATGTATTTTTTTAATCTGGGATTTATATACCTGTGAATATATATAATAGAAAGCCTGACAGACCTTTAACTGTGGTGTCACTAATACATTGATATAATTTGTTACTTCAGCTAAGGTGTTTTGCCTCAAGAGGTGGAATACTTTTATGTATGGAAAGGTCAGTTTTAATTAATAAGCTGTTTTCATCATTCAGGGCCAGTATGAATTGCTTGTAACATTTGTGCGAAATAGTTTTCAATATAAAAATAAAACAAATTGAGCTTTATGTCACATTTATCATCCCCCATAACCCATTTAAATGTCAAAAAAATCAGTACAGACCAAAAGTCTATTTCTAGAAGCCTTAGTAGCCCTATTTATCAGAGTGAAATAAGATATTATCATCCCATTATCCCATCGCATGCCTTCTGCACTTGAAGACATATGCATTTCTTCCAGTTTTCTGTAACACTGAAGAGAGTTTTTTCTGTTGTTAAATATTTGTCCAAACAGTAAATAGTGAAGAAAATGCCGAGCCAATATCAGAGGAATGAACTGGTAATTATATTAGTGTGTATTTCTTTCATTGTAAATGCATAATATAATATACAATTATTAACTTACTTTCTTGTATATTTCCCAAATGAAAAAAAAAAAACAATTAATGTTTACCTATCCCTTTTTGGAAACAAATTTTTTGCAGACTGCCATTTGTTAGTATAATTTTACTGTAAGGACCAAGCTTTCAATGTATATGCTACTGATATATTTTGACAAAAATCATGCCATTGTATAGAAAATTTGTGTCTTTATATATTTTATCTTCAAATAAACTTGACATTTAAAAAAAATTCTTTATTGAAGTTCTTTTTGTGAATTTTATGTTCTAAACAAGCAAGGGGCAGCTATTCACATGACTCCATGGCTGAATGTCTCTTCCTTCTAATAATTCTAAAATGTCGAGTATGAGTTGGATTGAACAGGCTCAAAGGTTCTAAATTCATTTAGGATGCATGAAAATAGGCAGTAGGATAGAGGAAAAAGATCCCACTAATGCTGATAGTGGGGAAGATGCTTCTGAGGGTTGTGATGAAGTAAGAAGCTGGTGAGGAGTTCAGTTCCAGGGAATCCGGGCAGGATTTAGCTACTGGAGAGCTCCCACCAAAAGAAGTGGCTCCAGCTGAATATCAGTGTTGCATACAAGAACCTGTTGAACCACAGGTCCCACCTTTGCAAGAAACCAGGCTGTGTGTGTTGTTACTGAGAGGGGCTTTAACCTATGATGCCATTATTGTATCCAAATCCTTAAATACACTTTGAAAAGAAAATAATTCATTTACTGGTGCATGTGTTTAATGGTGCAAACTTTCTGTTATGTAGAAATGCTTGAGGAAATAGCCTTCTACTGGTTTTTATTGAAGTATTTTCTGGTTTGTTCTCATGCCTTTTTTCCCCCCACTTTTACTGCGACAGGCAGCGCCATCGGAAGTGATGACATCATAGCAGGGAACGTGAGCAAGTACATCGTTCTCCCACCTGCTTATTCTGGACAACCTAAAAAGGGACATCTTATATTTGATGCCTGTTTTGAAAGTGGTGAGTGTTCTCAGCATTATTTTATGTTACCTAGTTGTCAATGTATTAACACTTTTAACTCTATCACCCATCTTTATATGAAATGTCTTAATTCTGAGGAAGAGTTCCATTAAATACTACTTAACAAAGTTAACTGATTCACTTCAGTCAGAGTATGACATAAAATCAGACTGTTCAAATGTCAAAAGGGTAGTGAAGTTTGCTGTTTACCTACAATGAATGTTTCATCAGGTCCATCTTTAACCACATCTAGATACATAACTGGATTTTATTCCGTTGTTATATACAGCATTTATAGACCACTAATCTAACACGTATTTAAAATATGCTACTTTCAAATTGAATTTAGAAGTTTAGTGGGGCAGTTAACGTCATAAAGTGCCAAGACCATCCTTGCATAGTGAGAATATTTTACAAATGTGTATGTGCTGTCTTTAAATGTATTTCTTTGTGTGTCTTGTGGCCTGATTCTGTACTGCTGGGGTTAATGGAAGTTCTGCCTCTGATGTCAATGGAAGGAGAATTAAAATTTGGGAAGCTACAGGAAACTGAAAGAGAAAATTTTTTTTACAGGAGTTATAGTTAGCATAATAATTTCAAGAATAGTTGTAATCACATATGTTTGCATGCATGTGGGGTAGGTAGGTAAATATATATATGAATATGTACCATTGTACACATTTTTGTGTTACATACATGTGTACATCCAGATTTTTAGCTGAAATCTATTGTTAGTGAGTGGCTTTCAGACCTACAGAACACTGTTAAGCACCATATGCACAGAAGGCATTTGGCAGGATAAACTATAGTTTTCAGCATGGTTTATGTGAGAGGTGCTGGTAATGCCAAAACTGCTGCAGTGTCTTGTAAAATGAGCTTTTTATGAAGAGTTACGTCCCTCAGGATAGAAGACTGGCTGCCAGTTCCTGGATAAATATTAAATTGAGTTATTTAAATCCTGTGATTACATTATATAAAAAAAGTGCAAATGATGCAGTGAATAATAATGAGTATCTTCTTTTTAAGGTGTGTCTCTGGAGGTTGAGACAATAATATGTATTTTTAAAAATACTTTGGGTGCTATTTCATCATTGCTATGTGGTATTTTGCATTTTGTATCAGAAAACGGCTTATGCAATGAATCAGTTGGCCAAGCTGAGAAATTTACTGAGCTAAACTGCTCTGCAATGAAAAGGATCAGTAGCAACCATCAAATTATTTGTGAACTATTGTGAATCCTTGCATGATGGTTTAATTCCAGTTTTTGAACAATGGAATCAATTATATTTTTCAATGAAAACATTTAATCAGTTCAAAGGTAACGTTCATATTTTATATACTCTGACAATAACAGCGTGTGATAGAGGCAGGTGCTTTTGAAATACTCTGTTTATTTACATTGTAGCATGATGAGGCTCTGATGTTGCTTTGCATATTCAGACACTTCCAAAATACAGACATGAATGAAATTAATACCTTCATTTACTTTCTTATGATGAGGATGTATTAGCAAGAATGAGAGTAATATTGTGTACACTTCATATGTAAATTCACTTTATCTTTTGTTATATGTCAGCCAAGTAATTGCTTGAAGTACCTTTCCTGGTCAAAGCAAATTAACTGATTATTGGCTAATTTATGAAATTGTTATTAATGCAAAAATCTATCCCCTCCTGTCATCCAAACAATGGTATACAACATTTTTAAGAACTGCACTGATGCTCTTTGAGTCCCACCTTAAAATGGTAATATCCTATCGAAATTGCCTTTTCTTAAGGACAGATTATAAACCTGGTCCCACCTGGAGCGTTGCATCCAGCTCTGGGGTCCCCACAGCAAGAAACACACAGACCCACCGGAGGAGTCCAGAGGAGCCACAAAGATGTTCCGAGGGCTGGAGTAGCTCTGCTGTGCAGACAGGAAGGGAGAGCTGGGGCTGCTCAGCCTGGAGAGTACAAGGCTCTGGGAACACCTTCTTGTGGCCTCTCAGTAGAGCAAGGGGGCCTAGAAGAAAGATAAAGGTGCTTTACTAAGGCCTGTGGGGACAGGGCGGGGAGCAATGGTTTTAAACTGAGAGAGGGAAGATTGAGGTGGCCTGTAAGGAAAAATTGTTTACAGTGGGGAGAAACATTGGCACAGGTTGCCCAGGGAAGTTGTGGATGCTCCATCCCTGGAAGTGTTCAAGGCCAGGCTGGACGGGGCCTTGAGCAACCTGGGATAGTGGAAGGTGTCCCTGCCCATTGTAGGGGGATTGGAAGAGATGATCTTTAAGGTCCCTTCCAACCCAAACTATTCTATGGTTCTAAAATAAAGTTGTGTTAAATGTGATTCCATAAGTGGCTTTTCTTTCTTTGGCTGTGTTCCTATTTTCCTGACAGATCTGGTTGATAGAACTGAACATTCCCTTCTAACCTATTCTTCAATGACTATGATTTTATACTGTAGAAATGAAAGTAAATACCCTTCAGAATAGAAAAACATTACTAAGCTTGTAGAAAGAAATCAGGAAAAATATTAACACATACAGAAGAAATTCTATTTAATGGCTATCATTATTGTATTAAAAAGTATCGAAAAGTACGAATTTGTTTGAGACTGAGAGCTGTGTTTTATGTAGTCTGAAAACCAATGTCCAGCCTGGTGTTTTGAAGTGTCTTGCTTTCAAAAAATCATAAAGAATACAAATGAAATGGGGACTGGGATTTCTTTTCAGTCCACTTTGTTGTTGAGAGGCAAAATACCCTGTTTTTGCTATTCCTGGCAGATGTTTATGTATCTTTTTCAGAGACTTTTGCTGAGTTTCATTGAGAAAGCAGCAATCCATTCTAATGCTGCAATTTGCCCAGTGTAAGAAACATTTGCTTTCTATGTAGAAATGTTCTTACCAAAAAGGCATTAATTCTTGTCCAGTCCTGTAGGCACAGAAAGCAGATTATTCCTTTCTTCTTTAACCTAACGGAAAGCTGTTCTCATATCTTTCCTTGGCCTTTCCCTCCTCAGGTTAAATAACTGCTATTTTTTTCCATAGTGCTTACATTTTCCAAGTTTTCTATCATTCTTTACTTCCTCTGGCCTATCTCCAGCTGTTTTGTGCCTTTCTTGGTTGGCAGTGGTCCAAGGTGAGCATGATACTCGGTTAAGATGGTGCCAGTACCACGTAGAGTTTATTACATGACACGCCTTGCCATCTATTTACTTCTGCAATGTCACAGTCCAATCTTTTTCACAATAGCATGGCACTGGTGACTCCTAAAAAATTTGTGATCCCTTATACTCTCCAGGTCCTTTTTAGAAGGAGAGCTACCTGACCAGTTGGTAGCTTGCACTTTACTCACCCTTGATGAATCTATTACTAGTGAAAAAATCATTGCTGTAAAATAAATACAATTATTGAAAATGCAGAATGGTGGCTGGACAGTTTATCTTACTAATAACAGACAGAGGAGTAAAGAAAAGAGAAAATTATCAACTTGCAAGTATGTCAGGAATTTGTGTTTCCCATAGCTAGTGTTGTGACTGGAATCTTCCTTGTTATCTTTAATATTCAAGAATATATGCAGCCAAAATGAGCTTTTTACATTGATTTATCATTAGCATAAAAGAAACTGATAAAAATTCAGATTTGTTGCATACCCCAACATAATTTTTGGATAATGTCAGTTTTCACAAGATTTAGTTGCAGGGAAAAATCGAAGCAGTTATCCCTGCACAGAACAAATTTAAAGGGAATAAATGTCACATTTGAAATGTACCCATTTGGTCAGTTGTAATTCTGTTTGCTAAGATTCGTTAAGGCATTAAATTATTAACGCAGTTTCAGTTTAGAGGGAATGCAGGACTGTACAAATGTTTGCCTCTCATCCTACCTGTTCTGGCAAAATGGGAATTTTCCTTCTTGGAAAAGGATGTATTCACTTCTACTGTACAAAGAAGTCCTTACTGATTGAGTCAGGCCCAGATTTTGATATAAAACTGTTCTTCAGGGAATCTCTCATCTCATACCGCCGTGAATTGGTATTTCTGACATTTTATCTGAAGGACTTCAGAGTTTAGTTTAGGCAGCTGCCCCTACTGTCTTGTGTTGCCTTTGTGTGTCTTATTTCTGGTGCCATCCATTTAGTCAGCAGCCTATTTTGTGCCCTGACTAAGAACTGTTTTTATTTGCTTAGTCATTTTTTCCCGTACAAGATGGTTTTGGAGATGATACCTCCAGTGCTGGAAGCCAGTTGTTTTCCTGGGAACTTACATACCTTCAGAAGCTTTGCTTCTGCATGAGGTAACAAACATTTAATTAATTCATTTTACATGATGCACAAAAAAGCTTTTTACATGTATTTTGCAAAGCGAACAAAGAAAACAACAACAACAAAATGTCTCAGCCCTTAAAAAACCTTCCCTTTTTTTCTCACTGTGCAAAGTCTGTTTGGTGGGTGTAGCCACAAGTTGCCTTCCTGGTTCCATCCCAGGATGATTCCGAGGTGGGATGTATCCCAGTGCCTTCTGCCTCTCATGTTGGGATGTCACTGGAAACAGAGGGGGAAGCTGGAATTAGGCTGGGATGCGTTGGGAGGATGGTTAAAAAGCCCCAAGCTCGACAGTTTCTGCTGCTTGTGGCTCCAATTGCTTGTTTTGTAATTACTTTTGAGGATTGAAGGAGCAGTGTTGGCTCACAGAGGTTCGTAAATCTCACCATTCACACTGTTAAATGCAAGGGCTTTTAATAAGGCGTTGAAAATATATATTTTGGCTTGTTAGTCAACTATAATGCTGTTTAACTGTTAAAAAATACTGTGTTTCTTGAAATTAAAAATGAAGCTGCTGTCTGCTTTTATTCTCATTTCAACCAAAAAGTGGAACCCCGCCAAGAGTCATTAAATCTTCTATCCTTTGGATGAATTCTTATTTTTTTATGAAAAAATGTTATGATTTGGTAATTTCTGTATTGTGGTTTATGTTCAAAAGGTTGTAATTAAAGTTTTGTAAAATTTTCGGTTCAATCT